CGCCAGTCGGTTCTCGTGTGCCGGCTGTACGGCTGGCTTCAGTGTCGCCTGCAGGAGCCACGACAGGCTCCTGTCTTTGCCGGTCCATGCCTTGGCTCGTTGATGCCCTCGCCGTGCTCGGCGCCCGCCGCGGCGCTCGGGCTTCTCGCGCTTCGCATCGCCCTCGGCCTCCACGCCCCTCGGGTCGTCGGCCTCCCCCGCGTCCTCGGCTGAACCCGCGGCCGCCGATCCCGCGGCCTGGCCTGCCGGTGGTAGAGGACGGTTGTCCGCTCAGTTTTCTCGGAGGCCCTCGGTGGATCCTTCCCCCGCGGCCAGGAGGAGGTAAGAGGAGGAGGAGGAGGAGGGAGGAGGGAGGAGGAGGAGGAGGAGGAGGAGGAGGAGGAAGAAGAGGATACGATACGATACGACTCAGCCTGAATGGAGGTGTAACTCCCGCTGGATGACAGAACTACCTGGGCAAGTGGAAAAGAGACAGCAGCGATGGCAGAGAGAGGGCGTGGGCGCGCCTGAGCGCGATCATCGTCGTGACGACCGTCCGAGCCTCCTCGTCAACCAGGCTGTGCGGCTGTCCTGCCACATCTCTGGGTCGGAGGCTAATTCCTGATATTCTCGACTGATCAGAAACTTAAATTGGTCCTCGTATCTCCAAGGTTTGAAAATGCGGCCGTGGCGCTGGGAGCCGAAACGTGTTTTAACATCCGCCAGGTAGCGTTGACCCCCCCAAATCCAGGGCCAGGAGTGCAAACCTGTCTGGGGCATACTTCTGGAACCTACACACGTGGCCACACCAGTCGAAAACACGGCACAAACAGACTACATCCCATCTCTGGAGACCTAACTTATCTAGATAGTGGGCCCTCAGACGATTGACGTACGCCAGATGGTCCCCCAAGAAGTCCTCCTCGAAATCCTCGAACTCGTCCAACTTATCTGGGTCCACGTGGCCTGTCTCTAAAACCTCAGGGGCCTTCATCTGGTCATTGTTCGTCGTCGTAATCGTCGTCGTCGAAGTCTGGGGCGGGCGGGTCGTTTTCGGGGGAGGGGGGGGGGGCAACTTGCGTTTAATAACACGTCTTTCCATGGCAATCTGGACGGCCCGAAATTTACGAAGGTGATCCTGGGTCAGATGCAGGGTCCTGATGTTGTAGGTCAGGGCGGGGAGGACAACTTTGCGCAACAATCACAACCTATTGGAAATGGTGCCACACTTCGTGGTCAGCAGCTTCTTATGGCGCGCAAATGCACTCCAGGCGGCACGTATGCGCCTGTCCACTTCAACCGACGCATTGTTATCGAAGGTAATCTGATGGCCCAGGACCTTAATCCCTTGCTCTCGCGGAGTGAAAGGGATGTGAAAGACGGGGAGGGCGATATCTTCGGTTTTCTTCTGGCGCTTGGTGGGGCGAGGGGCCACGGCGGACCCCTGGGGGAGGGGCTGGGCCCAGGCATCATGCACGGCCAGTCGGGATTGGTGATCCTCAGACGCAGTCCATTGCATATCGTTCAAGTCCACCCACCAGCCTGCTAGCCGTATTAGATTATTCCAAGCATCTGTCATGAGGGTCACCATCGACGGCGTGAGACCTAGCAGCCAAAAGTTGTCGGCGAAGATGAGTAGCGAGACTCTTCGAATCTGCTGTGAATCCTCGCCCCTCCTGGTGTACGCATAGCACTCGAAGCCCAACGGGCGTGCATCTTCAAAATCCAGAGGGTAGCCCCAGTCCTTGGACTTGCATATAGAGAGGAAGGAAAGGATGAGAGTATGTTCCATAATGAGGTTGCACTTGCGAGGGCCATCTGGATCGCCCTGATATATCGATCGAGGAGGAGGATGAGGATGAGGAGGAAGAGAAGGAGGAGGTAGAGGAGGGGTAGTCGGGATGATTTTGAGGAGAGGGAGGAGGAGGAGGAGGAGGAGGAGGAGGAGGAGGAGGAGGAGGAGGAGGAGGAGGAGGAGGAGGAGGAGGAGGAGGAGGAGGAGCAGGAGGAGGAGGAGGAGGAGGAGGAGGAGGAGGAGGAGGAGGAGGCGGAGGAGGAGGAGGGGTAGCGGAATGATTCTGAGGAGGGGGAACCGATCGGTCATATGGGGAGGCCGTGCCTCTGAAGGCTCGCGGCCGCGACCCGCCGTCGGCCGCCCAGCTCGAGGCCCGGCGGCCGGGGAGGCAGGCGCGGGCCCCTGCCTCGAAGCCGCCGGCGGGCTCGGAGCAGTCGGCGCGGGCGGCGGCGGCGAGGTCGGGAGGCCGAGGCTGCTGCGTCGGTGCTGGTGCAGGCCCGGGAGTAGCCCACCTGAAGCCACTTCGATCGCCGCGGCCCGTTTTGCAGTGGCGCCTCACCGTGGTGAGCTCGCACCTAGCACGCAGAAAGGCACTGCAGCCACTCGCTCGCCACGGCCCGTTGGGGAGTGCTGTCTAGCCATGGCGAGCTCAGATCTGCACGAGAGAACAATGGTGCTGTGTCGGTGCTGGAGTAGGCGCTGTCGAAGCAGCCTGCAACAACTGCTCACCCTGGCCAGTGTCGGAGCGGTGTTTAACCGAGGCGAGCGGGAACGACCCAAGACAATTTCCGAAAATTGCCATCTCAAGCACACCGCATTAACGCGCTCACCTCGGTGAATTTCGGAACAGTGTCTAGCTGAGGTGGGCTCGAATCTGGCACAAGGCACAGCACACGAAGAGCGCTGTGCGTGTGCTGGCGTAGGTGCTGCGCTGGTGCTAACGTCGTTGCAGAAACAGGCGCCCTTGATGTAAGCAGAAGCAAGGTGCTCACGTCGGACGGTTATGAAGCGGTGTCGAATCGAGGTGAGCGCACTGCCGATAATAATCACTCTTTCAACATGTCTTACCCCGGCCCGTTTCGAAGCAGCGCCATACTAAGATCGATGCGCATCTGAAAAACATGGCAACAAGTATATTGACGCACGCAACTGCTATTTTACGACATGAAAAAGAAACACGTTTCCGTCGGTGCTGACGTTGGTGCTGAGCTGGGGCTGCGCAGGTGCTGCGCGAATGATATAGTAGGTGCTGTGCGCGAAGTCTGGATCCAGCCCACGGAAATGTGCGTCCAAGCCGTGCTGGCAATACTACTCTTCGCCTCTGGGTTCCTCGCCCTGCTGGTCAGTCAGGCCCCCACAAACACTGGCGTAGTCTGCCGCCCCACTTGCAAGTCTTCAGCAGCTTCTTGCGGCAGCATGCTGCATTGGCACTGCGCGGTCGCATGTGGCGCGCATCTGCGCGCTGCCCTGGGGGGCTCTCTCGCCGCGCTACTTCGCAGAAACACGTTGTCTCCTGACTGTGGTGTGCCATCGGCTGGGAAGTGGGTGGCGTTCCCTCCGATCAGCGCACTCCTTCGACCATCCGGCCACCTTGAACGTGGGCCCCTGTTTGCTGATGGACTGGGGGCAGCTCTAGCAGTCATGCCTCGTTTGAGCAGGGGCGCGACTAGCGCGTGCTTCGTGGCCCTAGCCAAAGCTGCGATATCAACTTGCGTCCCAATCTTAGCCGCCCCTCTTCCCACGCCTGCCCTCTTCTGCTTGGTGTCGCGGGTGGCCTTGGAGACGCGGTCTCTGGCAAGCACGGCCGCGCTGCGTAGCTGGAAGCAGGCGGGAAGAAGCACGGACGCGGCCGCTGGTAAACACGCCCACTCGTAGCAGGCAAGTCGAGCTTCGGGCATCGCGTGTCCCTCTGGAGCCTCGTCTGCCGTCTCGCCCGCTGTTCCATCTGCCGGCCCAGGCGTGGTTTGGGCGCCTTCCGCGCCCAGGTGGCTCTCGATCTGGGACCTCTGGATGTCGCCTTCACCTTGTTCCACGTCTACTTCGTCGATGAGGCTTCTGGTGTCGCGGTTCTCGCCACTCATCACAGAGCCGCTGTATCTTTGAGCTGCCCGTCCTGCCGCCGGCGCCCCCGAGCCCGCTCAGAAGCGGACGTCCTGGCTGGTTCTCTGGAGTGCGCTCGGGGAGGCCGTCAGTTCTGCATGATTATGGGCTTGTCGCTGTTCTGGGACTGGTCCTCTTCTGCTTGCTGCCATTCGGTGCTGCACATTGTGCAAATCGGCTCTGAACCAAGTCCATCCGCGCCTGAAATAACGCGAGTCTGCAGACGGGGCTCCTCCGCTGCCGTCGCCATAAAGAACGGGGACGCACCGCCCATCAACTGCTCGTAAGCGCACTGGCTTCGCCCGTAGACGCCTCCACCGATTGCGTGCTGCGTGGGGGAGGGCGAGTCCGCCTCTTGGGCGTGAGCCCTCTGGGCCAGAACGCCGGGGTCGTGCCGCGGTCGCCGCTTGCTCTTGCTCTGGTGCGCTCGGACTTTTCGAAAGCGCCTGGCTCCATCCTTGCGCTGGAATCTCCCCTGATTTTATGAGGTTTGCCTGCGAGAGCAAAAAGGCGATCGGCCTCCAGCCGTGGATCTTCATTTCGCTGTCCAAGTTCCCGAACGCGCTGCTGCGGGGATCGCTCTATGCTACCTGCGTCTGCCTTGCTTGTGCAAGGAAGTGGGGCTTATTTTCAAGTCCGGGTTGTCGCTTCCGTGCTCGCTGCCTTTCGGTGCGTTTTGCTACTGCAGCTCGCATATGTCATATGTCGGTCTCGGGCGAATTGGTGATGTTCGATGTGTCACCAACTTGCCGCTGGTCGAGCAATTGACAATGGAAGCTTTCTTGGTCAATCCAATCATCAGCTTCAGATGCGTCCCACTGGCGTTCCCATAACTGTCATATGGTGCTGTCAACCGCTTCTCTCTTGTGCATCCATCGGTCCCTTGGTGGTGCACTCATCAATCTCTCAATGCCGTTCCTCAAGTCGGGTCGCTTATACCACTGGTCGAACCAGCTCCAAAGCTGCAGCCTCGATGTCTTGATGCGTGGGTCGTCGCCCTCCCACTCTATGAGGCTGGTCTGGCACCTTCCTGGTCATGGTCGCCTGTACCTTCGTCGCAGCTTGAGGATCCCCGACGAGGACCCACCGTGAAGCCTTGTGCCCTTGGCTGCAGAGCACACAGCGCCTGCATTCGCTACAAGCCGTCGCCTCCGAATATGCAATGGTTTCAACTTTGGTCCTGGCTTCAATCGCCTGTCGAAGGCCGCTCTTTTCCGTCTATGGTGCGTCATCCGCTTGGTTGTGGTATTGCGGCCTCGGTCCACTCCCAGGTCTTACTCGGGAAGCCCAAATTCTTCAGCTTAGCGATGGTTTTTCTGGCGATGCCGGTGTGTGGCTATCAGGACGGGCTTGTCCGCCATCTTCACGTGCTGCCTCCGGAGCTTCCGGAACGCCGTGCGAGCGGCCCTGACCACCATGTCTGTGACCGCTTGCTTAGATCCAAAGCACTGACAGCTTAAATCGTCGAATGACGCCGTGGGTACACATCTTGGTGCCGCTGATGTGACACATTCAAGAATAATGTAAACGGATGCTCGTGCAAACTTGCCTTTGTGTCATGGTGAAAACGCGTGCAAGGAATTTGTATATGCAAGCTGCTTTGCGCACTCCTTCGTACGCCAGCGTGTCGTATAATCGCTCGAAGTCAACCATGCCGAATGCGCTGTGCAACTGACGTCGTTCGTGTCCAATGTCGTCTGTGACTGATATCGCTAGCGCCTCTTTCAAACATGAACTGCCTACCACTGCAGAATGAAAGCTATGACTCGCCTTCTCCATCCATCCGCGAACCTGGCTCTTGCTCAAGAGCTCCAAACACCAACAGAACCACGTGAATATCGCAAGTGCCGTGTCGCCCTTGGCCTTCGGCTGCAACTTGGTGATGGAGGAGGAGGAGGAAAGAGACTGAGGACGAGAAGGAGGAGAAGAGGGAGGGGGTGGAGTGAGCAGGGAGGCGGAGGAGGAGGAGTGGGAGGAGGAGGAGGAGGAGGAGGAGGAGGAGGAGGAGGAGGAGGAGGAGGAGGAGGAGGGAGGATTAGAGAGGAGGAGGGAGGAGGAGGAGGAGGAGGAGGAGGGAGGAGGAGGAGGAGGAGAGGAGGAGGAGGAGGAGCACACGTCACCTGGGGGGGGGGGCGTGATCCGTTACACATGGAGGGCAGCACGCGCGGCGCCGCGGGCCGGGAACAGCTGGCAGTCGGTAGCGACAACTGCTGAGCCCAGGCGGGGCCGAAGATTGTGGTAAATGTGAAAAGTCAAAACTAGGGCCCGATGGGCCCGCTGCCATCCGACCTCCCCGTCCGCGAAGTCCTGGGGATCCCCCAACCCCAAACGCATCAGAGGCTCAGAAGTAGGAGGGGGACCGAAGAGGTCGGTGGCGGCCCAGAGCCTCGGGCACAAGAAGTAGTGCGGAAAAGCGTCAGGGCGATCAACGCATCCGAACTTGCACGCGCTCTGGGGGAGGATCTTGATTCTCCCGCTGGTGGTCCACGCGCGGGGCAACGATGAGGAGGAGGAGAAGGAAGGAAACTGAGGAGGAGAAGGAGGAAGGAATCTGATGAGGAGGAATGATGAGGAATGGAGGAGGGAGGGGCGGAGGAGGGAGGAGGGGGAGGAGAAGGAGGAGGAGGAGGAGGAGCAGGAGGCAGCACGAGGGCGGAGGAGGGTGGGACGGAGAGGGGCGGCGGGAGAGGGCTCCCGCCCGCGCCGCGGGCCCCCGCCGCCGCGGCCTCTGTCGTCCACGTCGGCCTCCTCCTCGCCGCCGTCGGCCTGCGCGGGGGTGGGCCAGGAACGCTGGCGGCCAGGATGTGCTGTTTCTTTGTTTGTCTGCTGCTGGTGTTGTTGTTGTTGTTGTTGTTGTTGTTGATGCTGTGGTTGTTGTTGTTGCTGTTGCTGTTGCTGTTGTTGTTGTTGTTGTTGCTGTTGCTGTTGCTGTTGCTGTTGCTGTTGTTGTTGTTGTTGCTGTTGCTGTTGCTGTTGCTGTTGCTGTTGTTGCTGTTGTTGTTGTTGCTGTTGTTGTTGTTGGTTTGTTGCTGGTCTCTCATGTCTAAAGAATAAGTGTTGTCGGTCCCCCATCCCTGGTAAACCTTGTAGTCAATCGAAGGCCTTCTCCCGGGGCTCGCACCCTGTTCTCTCCACACGGGAAAACGAGGTGTCACCATACCGGACTGCTGGCCCCCGGTCTACAGCAACAGCGGCTCCCGCCTCATAGTTCCTCGCAACGTATGCCCAAATGGCGCTTTCGCGCGGGGCATCTTCACAATGTATACAGAAATCGCGCCCTCGCGTGGGACATTCTCGCGATGTATTCAAACCCCGCGCCCTCGACACTCAGAAATCTGTGGATTTCCAAACGATATATTTAGGAACCGCGCTGTCGCTCGAGATGTCCTCGCAATTCATGCAAGACGCACGCTTCAGCAACCCGCCTGCTCGACCTGGCGGCCTAGGCCCGCCTTCCCGATCCGCCCGTTACAGTCTACCCGCCCGATCTGCCCGATCTGCCCGTCTGTTTCTGCCATGTGCTTTCTGCTCCTAGCCCTCCTCCTGCTACTCTCATTCTCTCTCTCTCTCTCGCGCTCCATCCTCCTCCCTCCGACCTTGTCCCTTCCTTCCATCCGTCCTCCCTTCCCCTGCCTTAGGCTGAACGAAATTTGCGTTGCAGGTAAAAATATAAACCCCCAAGGTGGCACCATCGAAGAAGAACATGGCGGGTATCGAGGGTTTGGCATCCACGTGTTGAGTGGCACGCGAGGGATAAGAGCGAACAGTCTTAACATGATTGGTGTTGTTGTTTTTGTTGCTGTTGCCGAATTCTCAACTCTTACACATAATGATTGACGACCCCCCGCGTGACCATTCTGGTTGTTGAATTTAGGTTCTCATCCCGAAGCTCGCACGCTGTCTGCAATCAAGGACCATGTGTGGCCATGAAATTGCGACCCTTGCCCCCGACTTCCAACAACAAGGGCTCCCGCCCGATACTCCCCCACAATGTATTTCAAAATCGCACTCCCGCGCGGGACTTCCTCACAAGTTCTCCAAGAATCGCGCTCTCGCGTGGGACTTTCTCGCTGCGTATTCACACGCGCCGCGCCCTCGATGTTCAGGAACCGAAATCTCGCTTCGGTATTCCCGTGATGAATTTGTAAATCGCGCTATCGCTCGAGAGACCCACGATTCAACAACCCGTGGCCGCGTGGGCCCGCCTTCCGACCCGCCCGCTAGGGTCTGCCCGCACGATTAGCCCGTCGGGTTCTGCCCGCACGATGTGCTATCTGCTCCTAGCTCCCCTCCTGCTAATCTCTCCCGTGCTTCATCATTCTCCATCCCCCTACCATCCGTCCTCTCTTCCCCTGCATTAGGGGCTGGACCAATTACGCATGGCATGTTAAGGAAGATAGATCCCCGAAGGGGGTACGATCGAAGAGCGTGAATCGATGGTTTGGGGTATGCGTGCTACACGGCACGCGAGCAGGTAAGAGAGAACTGTCGTAACATGACTGTTGTTGTGGTTGCTGCTGTTGTTAGTGAGTTTTCATGTGTGAATATGTGTTGGTGACCCCTTCTGCCCAGTGGCCATTATTGTTTTGAAGTGCGGTGCTCCTCTCAGGGCTTGCATTCTGTGTTCCACACATTAAAAAATTGTGGGCTCACAAAACTAGGCCCCAGGCCCCCGAGTTGCAACAACAACGGCTCCCGCCTTATAGTCCTCACGCTTCAATCAGAAATCGCGCTCTCGCGCGGGACCCCTCACAATGTATGCAGGAATCGTGCTCGCATGGGATTTCCTCGCAATTGATTCGAACGCCGCGCCCTCGACGCTCAGGAGTCGCGCTCTCGCCTTTCTGATGTTTCTCGCGAGTCACTTGGGAATCGCGCTATGGCTCGAAACGTCCTCGCCATTCATGCATTACGCACGCTTCTGCAGCCTGCCTGCTCAGCCCGCCTGGTTATGCCACGTGTTTTTGTTGCTCCTAACCCCCCTCCTGCTAATCACGTGCTCCATCATTCTCCTTTCCCCTGTCCATCCGTCCTCTCTTCCACTGTATAGGGGCTGCGCTAGTTACGCCCGGCAGGAAAGGAAGATAAACACCCATAGCGGCACACGCTCGAATACGAAGAGGCCAGGTATCGAGGCTTTGGGATATACATGTTGAGCCGTCTTAGAATCATTGTTGTTGCTGTTGGTGTTGCTGTTGTTGTTGCTGCTGTTGTTGTGGTTCTGGTTTCTGGATTCTCACGTTTTACACAAAAAACAATGAATGGTCCCCCTTCGGCGATCATGACATGTTTCAATTGAAGTGCTCCTCCCGGGGCTCGCACCCTGATTTTTTACCATGAAAGTCATTTGGGTTCGGATTCGGCCCCTGTCCATCGACATACAACAACAGCACCAACAACAACACTCACAACAACAACAACAACAACAACAACAACGACAACGACAACAACAACAACAACAACAACAACAACAACAACAACAACCAGTTTAAGGCTGTGCGCTCTTACTTGCCCGCGAGTCATTCAACACGTATACCCTACACCCTCGATGCCCGCCCTCTTCGTCTTCGATCACACCCCTTTCGGGGGGATTATTTCTCTTTGCTGGGGCCGGCGGGCTTAGACGTACGGGCAAACCGGAACGGGCGGACAATCCTTCGGGGGCGTACATCTCTCTGCCCGCCATTGGAATTGGCGCGGGCCCTGCAAGAGGAGGAGGGGAAGAACGAGCGAGAGTGGGAGCAAGGGGAGGGGAAGGACGAAGGAAGAGGGAAGATACCATGTTGTGAAGGCGTCCTTGGCGCGTGCGTGGTTCCTGAGCGCCGAAACGCAATTCCAGAATAATTTGTGAGGACGTCGCACGCGAGAGCGCAGTCCTGAGTACATTGTGAGGAAATCTCAAGCGGAAGCGGGGGCCCTGACTAAGTTGCGAGGAAGTCTCAAGCGGGAGCGCCGTTCCTGAGCAAATTGCACGGAAGTCTCAGGCGGGAGCGGGGGTCCTCACTAAATTGCGAGGAAGTCTCAGGCGGGAGCGCCGTTCCTGAGTCAATTGCGCGGAAATGTCAGGCAGGAACGGGGGTCCTGAGTAAAATTCGAAGAAGTCTCAGGCGGGAGCGCCGTTCCCACGTAAATTGCACGGAAGTCTCAGGCGGGAGCGGGGGTCTTGATTACATTGCGAGGAAGTCTCAGACGGGAGCGCCTTTCCTGAGTAAATTGCGCGGAAGTCTCAGGCGGGAGCGGGGGTCCTGAGTAAAAATCGAGGAAGTCTCAGGCGGGAGCCGTTGTTGTTGTAGCCCGGGGGGCAGGGGCACAGTTTGAGCAGGAAGACTTTCCTTGCGAAAAAACAAGGTGCGAGCCCCGGGGGTGGCACTTCAATTGAAAAAAATCAATGTGCACCGGTGGGGGGATCAACAATAATTATTCTTCAAGAATGAGAGTTCAACAACAACAACAACAACAACAACAATCATTTTACCCGAACGCTCAGTGTTCTCCCCAGTGCCAGGGTTTTCATGCGACGCCAGCCAATACCCCCACTTCGTGGGGGGGCAATGCAAGCTCTACCAAACATCCACACGACTCTCGGGAACCACCCACACCCAGCTTCCCGCCCTATGACGTCAGGACACTTCACTTCGTGGCGCGCGGACGATCGTGGATACTACACTGGCGTGGAGTACACACCCGCAGAGGTTGATCACTTGTTTGGGCCCCGCATGTGCCCCGCATCGTGCATTTGTTGCGCATGACATACATAGTACAAAGACAGAGAGAGAGAGAGAGAGAGAGAGAGGACAGCGCGCGCGGGTGGAAATTTTGAAAAGTCGTGCAGCTGTTTTTCGAGGACCTACGGTGCGATTCGTGTGATTGTATGATGCGCGGTGGTAAAATTCTTAAGAACCCAATGGTTTTTGGAGATTTCGGCGTGCGCGCGCGAAGAAAAAACGAATCTGTCCCGCATGGTATTATTTGACAGGGATGATGGCCCTGGCAGGTGCGCAACCGTTGTCGCAGAAGTTCGAAAAAGTTGCTCGCAAAAGCCCGTTTGACAGAAATGTTTAAAAAGTGTTGGGTTTCCTACGAATCCGCAAGAGCGCGCGGGATGAGATTTTGACATTTTTTTGTTGAAAAACCATTAGTTTTTTGATGTTTTTATGTTGAAATCGTTCCGAACACTAAGCTTTTGGAAGGATTTCGTCTTGCGCGCGCGAATGTCCACTTTACCTTATTTTTTGCAAAGGATTCTTGAAATTTGATTATATTAGAACAAGAAATGTCATTTTATAGTGTTTTTTGCAAGGGAAAGCGGGGGGGAACAAAACAACCGGATCCGGACATAATCCACTTTTCTGAAGCTTTCGCGAAAAAATGATTGAAAATGTAGCTGCGGCCTAGGTTTTGGAGGGGGGTCGCGCACCAGGGGTCCCAACAATAATTATTCTTTAGAAGTAATAATGTTCAACAACAACAACAACAACAACAACAACGGCCCCGGCCTGACACTTCCATACAATGTATATCAAAATTGCGCTCTAGCGCGGGACTTCCGCGCAAAGAATGCAGGAATCGCGCTCTCGCGTTGGACTTCCTCGCAAGGTATTCAAACGCCGCGCCCTCGGCAATCCGGCATCACGCTCTCGCCTTTTTGATGTTTCTCGTGGGTCACTTGGGAATCGCGCTTCCGTTCGAGACTTCCTAGCGATCCATGCAGGACCCACGTTTCAGCAACCCGCCTGCTCGACCTGGCCGCCTGGGCGCGCCTTCCCTACCTGCCCGCTAGGGTCTGCCCGCCTGATCTGCCCGCCTGGGTCTGCCACGTGTTTTCTGCTCTTAGCCCAACTCCTGCTAATCTCTCCCGTGCTCCATCCTTCTCCCTCCCCCCTCCATCCGTCCTCCCTTCCGCTGCTGTAGGGGCTGCACTAATTTCACGTGGCAGGTGAGGACAATAGACCCGAAATTGGGTACGATCAAAGACGAAGAGGACAGGTATCAACAAGTATCGAGGGCTTGGGGTGTACATGATTGTTGCTGTTGTTGCTGCTGCTGTTGTTGCGATTGCCCGCATTTCCGACCCGCCCGATAGGGTCTGCCCGCCCGATCTGCCCGCCTGGTTCTGCCACGTCCTTTCTGCTCCTAGTCCCCCTCCTGCTACTCCTTCTCGTGCTCCATCCTTCTCCCTCCCCCTTGTCCCTTCCTTCCATCAGTCCTCTCTTCTCCTGTCTAGGAGCTGCACGGCATACACGATGCAGGTGAGAAACATATACCCTTAATGGTGATACGATCGGAGACGAAGATGGCGGGCACCGAGGGTTGGCATAGACGTGTTGAATAGCACGCGAGCATAGAATAACAAGCACTCTTAAAATGTTGGCTGGTGTTATTGTTGTTGTTGGTGTTGTTGTTGTTGAATTCGCATTTCCGAAAAATGATTATTGTTGATCCTCCCCCTCCGGTAACCATCGCATGTTTCAATTAATGTGATTCTCCCGGGGCTCGCACCCCCCTGTTCTTGTAATTAGGGGAAGTGAAGGTTCACCAAACTAGGTTGTTGGGCCTCGAACTGCAACAACAAAATCTCCTGCCAGCTACTTCCTCGCAAGTTGTTCCAAAATCCCGCTGACGCGGGGGACTTCCTCACAATGTGTGAAGGAATCGCGCTCTCGCGTGAGACTTCCTCCCAATTGATTCAGACGCCGCGCCCTCGACAACGCTTTTGCTGTGGATTTCCTCACGATGTATTTAGGAATCGCGCTGTCGCGCGAGACTTCCTAGCGACCCATGCAGGACTGACGCTTCAGCAACCCGCCTGCCCCTTGTCCCTTCCTTCCATCCGTCCTCTCGTCCCCTGTCTTAATTAGGGGCTGCGCGAAATACACATTGCAGTGAAGAAAGATATGTACCCCCAAGGTGGAACGATCGAAGACGCAGAGGGCGGGAACCGCGGCTGTGGGATATGCGTGTTGAATGGCATGCGAGCAGATAATATCGAGCAGTCTTAAAATGATTGGTGTTGGTGTTGGTGTAAGTGTAGTTGTTGGCGTTGCTGCTGTCGTTGTTGTAACTGTGTTTGCTCTTGTTGTAAGTGTTAGTGCTGTTGTTGCTGCTGTTGTGTTTGCTGTTTTTGTTGGTGTTGTTTGAAGGGGCCCTGGGACACACAAACAAATACACACACATAAAAGGATTCCCCATATGTTCCCATATGTTCTAGGTTTCTGTCTTCCCCCCACTGCCAATATTTTCCCATATTTTCGGGGGAATCGACGATTCATTGTGCCTGTGTGCTTTTTCCCCCCCTGATTGTTGTTGGTGGCGTTGTTGTTGATGCTGTTGCTGCTGCTGTTGGTGTTGTTGGTGAGCGTTTTTTAATATTATTATTCGGCGTTTCGACATTGTGAAGGGGCCCTGGGACACACACACACACACACACACACACACACACACACATCAACGATGCCCCATATGTTCCCAAACTTTCTGGGTTATTGTCTTCCCCCCCACTGCCCATATTGTCCCATATTTTCGGGGGAATCGACGATTACTTGTGTCTGTGTGTGTTGTTCCCCTCCTGATTGTTGTTGGTGGCTTTATTTTTGATGCTGTTGCTGCTGCTGTTGGTGTTGGTGGTGAGCGTTGTCTTTTATTCGGCGTTTCGACACTGGGCGGAAAGGGGGGGAGGAGGGACGTGTGAGGGGGGCTCCGACCCCCTGCTTATATAGCGGGACTGCTTGCGACCGTTTGCGTCCCAAGAGGGGAGGCTAATCCCTGCCTGAAACAGGCGCCTAACACGGCCAGAGATCTACTCCACAGGGGGGGGGGGGAGGGGGGGGTGCGAGGGCCCGCGCCGATCGGCAGAACAATACATGAAAAACGCTCACTTGTTATAAGTGTCGTTGTTGTTGTTGACGTTGTTGTTATTATTATTATTATTAGTATTATTATTATTATCATTATTATTATTATTATTAGTATTGTTGTTGTTGTTGTTGGTGTTGCTATTGTTGTTGTTGTTGTTGTTGTTGTTGCTCTGATGTGTTTATGTTGCGTGTCTCGCTTGCGGCCATGATTGACTTTGCTCGGCGCGGGACGCAGTGGGCCACACGAGTGCAGTGCGCCCCCCCCCCTGGCGGCGCTCATGCGGACCGGACCTGCGTATAATCAAAAAAGGTATTGTACCGTGTCGTTGCCCAGGTGGTGTGGCCTGAAGGCGCCCGCCGTTGAGCATGTACTCTACGAGCTCGCCATCGCTCGGGCGTCCGCTCCCCGTGCGTGTTTCGACTTCGTGCGTGTATTTTTTTCGAACGATGGTCCAAGATGCTCCTCGATGGTCCCCGCCGAGAAAAAGTGCACACGTCCGAGCGATGCCAAGCCGAGACAAAAGAGAGGGGGCCAAACGGTCGTTCACTGTCCCTGGGCGCGCGGCTGAAGTAGGGCTCCGCGGGGCGGGCTGCTGTTGCGCTGCTGCTTTGCTGTCGTCGTCGTCGTCGTCCTCGCCCGCGACCCACACGCGATCCGCCGTGCGACCACCCCGCGACCCACCCTGCGACCACCCCGCGACCCACCCTGCGACCCACCCTGGGACCCACCCGCGACACGCCTGCGACCCACGCGCGTTGCTTGGATGAAAATAGGGGGCCACACGCGAACCCTACCCCTACCCCCCACGATTCCTGAGGGAGAGGGTGGGGGTTCGCTTCGTTCGGGAGCTCTCGAGCGGAGTGAACCCCACCCTCCCCCCGAGAAGTCGTGGGGGGTAGGGGTAGGGTTCGCATGTGGCCCCCTAGAAAAGGCTGGCGCCTGCGGCGGGTTCGTGGTGCGTACTGCGTGGATATATATATATATATATATATATATATATATATATTAAAAGAAAAAAACGGCGCCCGTGGCGGGCTTCCTCCAGAGCTCCGCAGCCTGCCGACGACCCCGGTGCTATACAGGACTTCTGGGAGCGCGCGCGTCGCCCAGCGGGGACCGACACACACAGACACAGACACAGACACAGACACAGACACAGACACAGACACAGACACAGACACAGAGACAGAGACACAGACACAGACACACACACACACACACACAACCACGGTGCAAGCATTCTCGGGCGATTCGGCCATACGCAAGAGTGC